CCATGCTTTCTTTGTGTACGGTTATGCACTCGGAACTACTCGGATGTCTCCGCACTCGACAATAACTTTGTTGTTAGTATGGAGCTTGCGGAATCAGCCGAGGATTGCCGATTGACGGACAACCAATCAGCGTTTTCACCAAACTTTGGTGAAAAATTTTGAAACATGGATTCGATTGGCTTACATAAACTAGGTCAAACTATTTTCGTCAGAGGTAACTTGACACGATGAAGATAGGCTATAGTGAAGAGGTTAGTGGCAAGTTATCTCTGAAGCTCAGGGTGTTTGTTACCTGCGCTATAATACCCCCGTCACACTAGAGGCAGAATGAGCAAGAATGCCGTAGGAAAGACAATTCTTTGTGCATTCCTGGACATTCAAAGAGCATCAAAAAAATCCGAGTGCATTTCAAATATTTTACCCACTCTTGTGGTCGGCCTTTCGAAGTGCATTCCAAGTGGAAAGTTATTGAATGCATTTGAATAGTATGTTGGGACGTTCGTTGGCTACCCAGCAGAAAACATCTAGTTGTATATTATCGAAACCGTTAGCTGTTACAACACTGTTGTCTATTTTCCGGGCAATATGGATTAAAATACCATATAACAATTCATTTACATTTCTGTAATGAAGGCGAGTGTTTTTTTTTTCTTGTCTTTGATGGAGCACGTCGTCATTTCAACATTTTTTGGAAGTGGTATCGTGTATCATTTCATTTCATTTCATTTCATTGTAGATGATTACCACGTATTCCTAACTGTTGAAGATGCTGACACTGAGTACCGCAAGAAAAATAAAGTAGGTTTGGGTATTTTCATTAGAGAGGCAATATATATATTTAAATACAACCTGGCATCCTTAGTGTGTGCAATATGAAATAATTACAACGTGCTTTCGATAAATTTTTAACCACAGCACTCTTTGGCAAAAGTTTATGGGCATAAGATATTGAACAATATCATCATCGGCATATGTATTTTTACAGGTAAAGAGTGATTGGTTTGTTGGTTTTACGGCAGTTGAATGCAGATGCCCCCGGGACTGGTGCAAGCGGCTCGTTGGTTGGTATGTTAGTTCTTTTATATACTCTATATTGATATAAATAATGGGACACCAGATTCTACTCCTTTTTTCCAGTGGAAAAGGCGAACGCACCCCACTCCCGTGAAAAAAGCATCTACATAATATAACATAATGTCCGAGTCATGAAATTGTTAAGGTGTATGCCCTGATGAAAACGTTATATAACAGCTTTACTTATGATATCAAATCATTGTATCGTAATGCTACAGAGGTAGAAAGACACACTTTGAATTCCAGGCGCTTCCTAAATGGTGGCCGTCATTTCTACGGCTTGCTTGTCAAGAAACTACATGGACCCCACCTGAAAGGTAAGGTGGAAACTACTTTTACTACCTCTTTACTAATATAAACCGTTTGTTTACTTTTGTCATGGCAATATGAATAACTATTACTTTGCTCTAATTCTTATTTTCACTATTGTATCAACATGTTAAAATCATATTTATTGTATTTAAAGAATAACACCAGGTTGAGAATATAAAGTACATTGTAAATTAAATACGTGACGAAATTCACATTATTTATTTATTTAATAATTTATATATTTATTTTTGCCACAACAGCATGGTTGTGGTGTGAGTCCTGTAGAAACAATTTATTCCAACTGGAAGATATCGTTCCCAAGGATCCAGTTTCATCCAAGGTAGTCTACAAGGAGAGTGCAATTGTTGGTCGAGTGTTTGGATTCCGTGTTCCACTCCTTAAGGATGAACACGGTTAGTGTGTAAATGTGACATTAAAACGTTACGATTAAAAACGAAAAGAAGACCATGGATAATGCCAGATATATTTTTATCAATAGCTATGACATAATGTTTTTAATGCGAAACCATTTAGAAAAACTGTAGATGAGAAGGTGATGGGGGGGGGGGGGGGCTGAGAAAGTAGACAAAAATTTAGTCGAGTCTCAGTCCCAGTAGAAAGCTAACTACATGAGGTGAACATTGTGTTTTATTTTAATATCTTGGAATCCTATCTTTGTTTTGAATGAACGGAAAAAGTCGCTGTGTAAGGCGTGACATCGTGTACATTGTGTTGGGTCCTCACATAAAACGTTTACGTATTTTCAGGTACCCTAAGGAAGATTCTAACCGTAACAGGTGATAAGTTGATGGGAAACAGAGGGGATCCTTTAAAGGTAATTATAAGAAACCACACCGAAGTCAATGAATTAAAACAACAAAATCAAACAATGACTTTCCCATAAAGACTCAGAAATGTACTCTTTTGCCCTCTCGGGTAGATAACCCTTGTTGCAAAGCGCGGTTGGTTGCAAAATCAGGAAAACGCAGCACTTATAGTAAAGCTGCATTTTGCAAATAAGAAAAGCGTAATGTGCATTTTTA